GTTATTTATATTTGAGACCCTGTCTCAAATATAAATAACGCACTTTGGGAGACCGAGGCGGGCGGATCACCTGAGGTCAGGAGTTCAAGATCAGCCTAGCCAACATGGTGAAACCCTTTCTTTAAAAAAAAAAAAAAAAAAAAATCAGTCCTTTGCCTGGGAAGGCATAACAGTAAAACATCTGGGCTCTGTAGTCAGACTAACCTGCATCTGAATTGTGGTCTGTTGCTGTGAGTCTGTGGGCAAGCCACTTAACTTCAATGAGCCTCAGTTTCCTTATCTGTCACCTGCCTCACATCGCTGCTGTGAACGTTAATGGGACCATGAAGATGAGGACTCGCTGGGCATAGTACCCGGTGCGGAATTAGAACTCAAGGAATGTTAACCCTTATTGTTAAGTAAATCTACTAGCTTAATTTTTCTTCTAATTGATACATAACAGATGTATATTTGTGGGTGGCACGTGTGATTATTTAATACATTCATATAATGTGTAAAGATCAAATCAGAGTTAATTGGGATATTCTTTACCTTAAATATTTGTCTTTTCTTTATGGGAGAAACATTCAAATTATTCCCTTCTAGCTAGGAAATAAACCTGCTGGCTGGTGCCGCTCACTGTAGCATGAAGTTTGCCTCCTTATGAGTCTCCACAAGCTCTTTGAGAGCAGGCCCATCTCTTACTGAAATTCTTCTACATTTGCCCAGTGCCCGAATTGCACTCTGCAGATGTGGCCCTACTCTGCATCTGTTGAAGGCGGGGTGTTCCTTTGTTGGACAGTTCTAATTGTGGGAACTTACTCTTGTTAGTAGTTACAAGTAGAATGTCTCCATTAGAATCATAATTTGCCTCCCTCTACAATCCATCCACTAACCCCGGCTCTACCCTCTGGGGAAAAACAGCATGTAGAAGTCTAATTCCTTCACCCCTAAGGGTCCTTCAGCCCTTTGAGAACAGCTGGCATATCCCCACTTACTCTTGCCTCCTCCAAGTTAAACACCGCCCGGTTGCCTTGACTGTTTCTCTCATAAATGGCTTCTGCTCCCTCACCGTCCCTAGTTCACAGCTGAACACATTTCAGCTCACTGATGTTTTTCTTAATGTGTAGTTTTCACAACTGGACACAAAATTACAGTGACAGCCCAGCCAGAGTAGAGAAACGTGTGATCACTAGCATATATTCTTAAAACAGCCTCCACTCCAACTCGAAGCAGCACTGGTGAGTAAGGCCAACTAGATAGAGCACAGAGCCCTGGTTAATAGAAAAAGAAGGTCTCGATGAAATGTTTGCTGTACACTTTTCAGTGCAGACCATCCACATGTGGGTAATGGGAAGCTGACCAAATCTTTACCCCCAAGGGTAGAAATGGATGTGCAGGATTGCTGGAATGACCGGTGCTGAGCAGAGTTACAAGGGACAACCACTTAAAGGAAGGGGTGTTTAGAGGTAGGGCTTGACTGACACCGAGACCCAGGTTCCTGCATCACTTTCTTGTCTCTCCTCTCAGATGACCTGGACCTGGATGAGCTCCAGCTGGAGATGGAGGACTCAAAGCCGCACCCCAGTGTCCAGTGTAGCCCTACTCCAGGTGAGATGGTGTCTGAGGAATGGGGGCGAGAGGGAATGAAGAAGGGGCACCCAACCACCTAGTTGGGGTACTAGTTCAGCCAGGCATGTCTGCAGCCACATTCTTTGCCTGACTCCCAGACTGCTGATGGAGGGCCCTCCTTTCATGATACCTGGGGAAGGAACTGGAGTTCTTTCCCTTGGGTGGCTGCTTGCAGGGAGTAGCATGAGTGGAGGGGAAGTCAAGCAATCAGCCAATTAGCATTTATGCATCCAGGAGAAAACTACTGTCACACAGGAGAGAAGCAGGAAAGAATGCCTTGACCCCCACTGCGCAGGGTGGCACGTGGGACTGCTTTTGAGTATTCCCTGAGTCTAAAACCCATACCACAGAATCCTAGAGCCAGGTGGGACTCTGAAAGGTCACCTTCTCCATCCCTTACTGCTCCATCCCAGGAAGATTACGGTGTCTGTTAAAACTCTGCACAGTAGAAAAACTCCATAGTATCCCTGGGTAACTCCTTATAGCACCATCTAACCCTTACAGTTGGGGAAGCCTCCTTTAGAGTCTAACCTAAATCCATCTTGCTGTAAAAAAAATAAAACAAGTAAGAAAACTCTCTTTCTCTTTGGTGTAATTCAACTTGAGATGTTTAGGGTGAGGAAATCCCTTCCCTTGCATATAAAATGCTAACAAGGCCGCAGAAGGCGGCAAGCACCATGCTACTTAGACAAGGATGGGAACTCTTCAGAATGAACAGAAAGTGATGAACAGTTTGTTTCTTCTATTTCATTCCACCTCCATTTTCCAGTTTTCCAGCTTTCTCTGGCCCAGGACCTTTGCCTTCTCCCTTTACCTTCTCTAAAGCCTATATAGAGTGGTTGCCTGACCTTGCCCAGCGAGTTCTCAGCGCTTGGTGACAACGGCACGCCCCCTAGTGCCAGCTTGGGGCCAGAGCACTAACCCAACCTGGAGGAAGCAGGTGCTGTTTCTGACTTGGAAACACACACATGCTTCATTCACAATGCCATCGAAATTTCACCTCTGAAAACCAGTAATCGGCAGGGATGAGGTAAAAGAGGAAGTTCCAAAAGACAAAGTCCAACTTAAGCTTGCTTCTAAAGTAACTCATACCAAGTGGTCGAATAATTATGGTACATTTTATGGTATATAAAATATGTTTTGAGTAATATAAAGATATTTTCTGGGAAAAAATTTGGGAAAGTCTGCTTGATAAAAATGTAACTTAAAGAGAATGAGAAACTTATGTACAGCTGTCTTAGTCCACTTTGTGTTGCTATAACAGAATACCTGAGGCTAGATAATTTATAAAGAAAGAGGTTTGTTTGACTCACAATTCTGGTGGCTGGAAGGTTCAAGCCTGGGCATCTGATGCGGGCCTCAGGCTGCTTCAACTTGTGATCGAAAGCAGAAGGGGAGCAGGTGTGTGCAAATAGATCACAGGGTGAGAGAGAGGCTAGACTCCCTTTAATAACCTGCTCTTAGGGAACTAATCCATTCCCTGGATTGATGGAGAACTCACTCACTCCCACAGGAGGACATTAATCTGTTCCTGAGAGATCTGCCCCCATGACCAGACACCTCCCACTAGGCCCCGCCTAACACTGTCACACTGGGGATTCCATTTCAGCATGAGTTTTGGTGAAGACAAACCATATCCAAATGATAGCAACAGAAAAATCTTAATTTAGTTTGTTTTGTTTTGTTTTTTATAGAGATGGGGTTTCACCATGTTGGCTAGAATGGTCTCAATCTCCTGACCTCGTGATCCACCCACCACAGCTTCTCAGAGTACTGGGATTACAGGCGCGAGCCACCACACCCCGCCTTTAATTTAGTTTAAAAACTTATGTGTATGTATGTATCTTTTAAAGACCACAAGGAAACACATGAAAATAATGAGCTATCTCTGAGAAGTGATAGCTTTTTAAATTTTTCCATGTTATATTTTCAAATTTTCTACAATTATCACCTATTATATTTGGTAATAAGAAAAAAATGATTTAAAAATAGCTCCCACAGGCCAGGCATGGTGGCTTACATCTGTAATCCCAGCACTTTGGGAGGTCGAGGCAGGTGTATCACCTGAGGTCAGGAGCTTGAGATTAGCCTGGCCAACATGGTGAAACCCCATCTTTACTAAATAAATACAAAAATTAGCCAGGCTGGTGATATGTGCCTGTAATCCCAGCTACTTGGGAGGCTGAGGCAGGAGAATTGCTTGAACCTGGGAGGCGGAGGTTGCAGTGAGCCAAGATCTTGCCACTACATTCCAGCCTGGGTGACAAAGCAAGACTCTGTCTCAAAAAAAAAAAAAAAAAAGTTAGCTCCCACAAAATCCTCTCAAATTCACAAGCTACCTAGAAATACATTGAAGAAAAAGAGTCTGAAGCCAAAGGAAATGAAGAAATAATATTTCCAAAGTTACAAGGTGATTTAGGAAGACTTTGGGGAGATGGATGGCAAACACCAGGATGTCACCCATCTCGAATGGACACACGTAGGAAAGAAGTCATCTGTATTTTGATTTACTGGACTTCAGACACTTTACCTCCCAAACACTGATTGACTGACAAATACTAAATGTGGTCTGTACCCCTCTCACAGAGCAAGGGAGGCAGGCTGGTAGAATATTTGGTCAGGATTCTCCCACAGTGGGAGCTTAGTGGATTACGGGGGACTGACTGAGAGAAACAGAGGCTCAGGCATAGACCAGTTGCTATCTGGGCAGTCCCTCACACCTCTGTCCCTACCCGCCATGTCTCCCAAAGCTGACATCCTCTCCACTCCCTGATGGCAGCCTGTACTTCCTTTCTTTCAAGTGCTGTCCTTCACTTAACATTTGCTCACTGTCTGGGTTTGTACCGTGTGTGTGCGCTTATATCTTTCTTTGAGAGAGAGAGTTGTGCTCTATCAGCCAGGCTGGAGTGCAGTGACACGATCTCGGCTCACTGCAACTTTCAGCTCCCAGGTCCTAGTGATTCTCCTGCTTCAGCCTCTCAAGTAGCTGGGGCTACAGGTGTGTGCCACCACACCCAGTAAATTTTTTGTGTTTGTAGTAGAGATGGGGTTTTGCTATGTTGGCCAGCAACTCCTGACCTCAGGCGATCCAGCCCCTTGGCCTCCAGAAGTGCTGGGATTAGAGTCATGAGTCCCCACGCCCGACCTATATTCTATGTTCTGCCGTATTGAGAGGAGGGTTGGGGTTACCCCACCTGCAGCTCTTTGGAAGAAGAGTCGTATGTCCCACTGCTCCTCCCCACAACCCCGGCTGGGAGTCTCTAAGGTGAGAGACTCTCCAACTGGGAGTTCTCTGGGGGCAGAAACCAGGTCAGCCTCCCTTAGACCTCGAGTTTTCTGAGGGCAGACGCCATGCTCACCTCCTTTTGACTGGAAATTCTCTGAGTGCAGAGGCTGACCTTGCCCTCAGGACCTGGTCCCAGCATCCTCTGGCCCAGGGTTAATGCCGGATCCTCTCTCCTACAGGCCCCTTCAAGCCCTGTGAGCACCTCTTTGAAAGCTGGGGCATCCGCCTGGCCGTGTGGGCCATCGTGTTGCTCTCGGTGCTCTGCAATGGACTGGTGCTGCTGACCGTGTTCGCCGGCGGGCCTGTCCCCCTGCCCCCGGTCAAGTTTGTGGTAGGTGCAATTGCAGGCGCCAACACCTTGACTGGCATCTCCTGTGGCCTTCTGGCCTCGGTCGATGCCCTGACCTTTGGCCAGTTCTCTGAGTACGGCGCCCGCTGGGAGACGGGGCTGGGCTGCCGGGCCACGGGCTTCCTGGCGGTACTGGGGTCGGAGGCGTCGGTGCTGCTGCTCACCCTGGCCGCGGTGCAGTGCAGCGTCTCGGTCTCCTGCGTCCGGGCCTACGGGAAGTCCCCCTCCCTGGGCAGCGTCCGAGCAGGGGTCCTGGGCTGCCTGGCGCTGGCCGGGCTGGCCGCCGCGCTGCCGCTGGCCTCCGTGGGCGAATATGGGGCCTCCCCGCTCTGCCTGCCCTACGCACCGCCCGAGGGCCAGCCCGCAGCGCTGGGCTTCGCCGTGGCCCTGGTCATGATGAACTCCTTCTGCTTCCTGGTCGTGGCCGGCGCCTACATCAAACTCTACTGTGACCTGCCGCGGGGCGATTTCGAGGCCGTGTGGGACTGCGCCATGGTGAGGCACGTGGCCTGGCTCATCTTCGCAGATGGGCTCCTCTACTGTCCCGTGGCCTTCCTCAGCTTCGCCTCCATGCTGGGCCTCTTCCCCGTCACGCCCGAGGCCGTCAAGTCCGTCCTGCTGGTGGTGCTGCCCCTGCCTGCCTGCCTCAACCCGCTGCTCTACCTGCTCTTCAACCCGCACTTCCGCGATGACCTTCGGAGGCTCCGGACCCGCGCAGGGGCCCCAGGGCCCCTCGCCTTCGCTGCAGCCGGGGAGCTGGAGAAGAGCTCCTGCGATTCTACCCAGGCCCTGGTGGCCTTCTCCGACGTGGATCTCATTCTGGAAGCTTCTGAGGCTGGGCGGCCCCCTGGGCTGGAAACGTACGGCTTCCCCTCAGTGACCCTCATCTCCTGTCAGCAGCCAGGGACCCCCAGGCTGGAGGGCAGCCATTGTGTAGAGCCGGAGGGGAACCACTTTGGGAACCCCCAATCTTCCATGGATGGAGAACTGCTGCTGAGGGCAGAGGGGGCCAAGCCAGCAGGGGGAGGCTTGTCAGGGGTTGGCGGCTTTCGGCCCTCTGGCTTGGCCTTTGCTTCACACGTGTAAAATGTCCCTCCCCATTCTTCTCTCCCCTGTCTTCCCTTTCCTCTCTCCCCCTCGGTGAATGATGGCTGCTTCTAAAATAAATACAACCAAAACTCAGCAGTGTGATCCATAGCAGGATGGCCCAGTCCCTGGCTCCATTGATTGCCTCTCTCCTGTGACCGTCACCATGAGTCCTCTTGGCCTGGCTTTTGCTTGGCTTTCCTCAGCTTCACCTTCATGCCTTGTCATGTCTGAAGCTGTGAGCCAGAGACCTGGACGTTTGTCTGCTTAAGAGAAATGAGGGAAGTAAAGAGAGTGAAGAGGTGGGGGGTTGATCAGGGCACAGTGGACAGGGAGACCTCACAGAGAAAGGCCTGGAAGGTGATTTCCCATGTGACTCATGGATAGGATACAATATGTGTTCTGTGTGCCATTAATCTCGACATATGCCATGCATAAAGACTTCCTATTAAAATAAGCTTTGGAAGAGATTACACATGATGTCCTTTTCTTAGAGATTCACAGTGCATGATACTGTAATAAAGGCCTTGAGAAGTCCTGCAGTAGTAAAATCTATTGAGCGTTGTATAACCCAGTTCCCTGAATTATTTGGTATAGGGTTTTGTTCGCTTGTTTTTTTTTTTGTTTTTGTTTTTTTTTTTTTTTTTTCCTGGAATATCTATTAACAAGACAGAACTTAGTACTGTTCTCTCCCAGGGAGCTCATCTCTGTACCATCTGGTGCTACCCAGTGACATCAAAAAATGCCACCACTTCCTGAAAGCCCTGATCCTAGGATGAACTGCCAGAGGTAACTGATGATTTCATCCACCAGTAGAGACTCTCAACACTTTACCTCCCACCTCTCTTATCCTATGCTGGGATGGATGAGGAGAAGCCTGCCGTTGTGTTTCCAGACCCAGACCCCTGAGTTGGGATCTCTGTGTGTTCTCTCATCACCCTGCCGTCAACCCCAGCAAGCCCAAGCACCAGTGAAAGTTTGTCTGCTACAAGACGGATAGTAGGGTTCCTGGATCCTGGCAGGGCTGTCTGAGTTCCCTCTGGCTCTTAGTTGCCTTCTTAGGTTTCTCCATCAGATGTCCCCTGCCACCTCCTGCCACAAGCCAGGTCCTGCCTACTCTTTGGGACAAGGAGGCCTTAGCTAGAAAAGAGAAGGGATTTGTATTGTAGGTATTGAATTTTAGAAAGCATTGCAGGTATCTGGCACCCTGGGTGCCTCAAATAGGCTGCTGACTCTTCTGCCTCTCCCCTCATGACCTTTCTACCTGTGGTTTACCAAGTAAGTGTCTGAGCATTTCCAGAATGCCCCCCTTAACCAGCCCCAAATACACACATATTCAATCTGAGAGTGAGGAGGTGAGAGCAGGGGCATCCTTCCAGACATTAAGGGTAATTCTTGGAGACATGAAAAGAGAATCCAAGACTCAGAGAAGGGCAAGTCTTGCTCTAGGGTACCCTAACATCAGTCACATCTAGAGGATAGGTCTAGAATTCTGAGACCAGATGGAAAACAATCTTCTTCCTCAATTCTGGTGTGGTCCTCAGCCAGGCCCTATCCCCAGGGAGTATTGAAACAGCGACCCCCAAGAAAGCCCTTCTTCTAATTTTGTATTTCAAGTTTCTGCAGCTTAGCTTCTCTGCTATCTCCCTGCTGTCCCCAATGCCTAGTTCTGACACAGGACAAAAGGGCTGCCTAGGCTGAGGCAGGTGGGGTAGCTTCATGGATGAAACTTGATTCATTTCTAAATCTTATCTGCTAGTTGCCTGGTCTCTTATAGGCTCTAAAGCAGAATGTGCCGACTTTGTAATCCCAGAAGAACCTTAGGGTCCTACCATGAGGCCAGCCTCGCTAAATGATGGCAGGTTTATTAATTAGTTGTTTATTTGAGAACCCTGCTCTCCCAATTTCCCCAGAGCTGATCAAAAACTCTTAAAGGAAAGAGTTTGCTCTACTTTGGGTACTAAGAATTGGTGACTCTTATGAGGGAAAGGAATTCTTTCTCTGAGATGCCTTAGGGATGACAAAACTTGTACAATTTTTGGGACCCTTAGCTTGTAAAAAGTCACTCCAGATCCCTTCTCACTCCCTGCCTCCACCATGAGATCATTGTTCCCCTTGGAGTTAAGGAGTCTGTGTTGAGGTGGAGTACAGGGGCCATGTGTTGGAGGTTTAGGAGTTACAGGAACTGCTCCCTACAGGTGGCCTCTTCTATGAAAAGGGGACTAGTGATTTTTGGCTGCAAGCCCTAGGGTAGCACCACTGTCACCTTATCATCTGCTTCTAAAGATCCAGACATGTGCTGGCCAGTGGAGCATCTGCTGAACCTTCAAATTAGAGGAGAGGTGTGGAGGAGGGGAGTGGAGGTGTTTGCCATTAACTGTTTTGATCATTCAGAAAGTCTGGTTGATATATGCTTACCCAAAATAAAGTGTGGCAGTTTGTTTTTTGGTTTTTGACTGAATTTCTAGCAAGTCAGTATGTTACCCCTTTGGTTGTCTTCATTATGATTTGTAGAAGATTATGAAGACTATGTATGTCTTTGATCACAAAATCAAAAAGCAAATTATTCAATGCACCTAAATGCATTTTGTTGGGTTGACGAAATCTTCCAAAATGGTGTCCATGGGGAAGAATCTGTCCAAGAGGGGTGTGGGGATGGCAACGTTGAGAACCGCTGACCACGTGTGTTGCCCTGTGCTCTGCGTTCTGTGCATTGGTAACTGGTGCCAACTACAATCTCATCTCAGACCGACTTGTGGAAGAGAAACTGTTATGGCAGAAATGGTTTTTATAAGCACCCTTGAACATACCAATGGTAAAATCCAAAAAATGCAGAGCTGAGATTTGAAGGCTATGGATGAACAGAGCCCCTAGCTGGGCCTTCTCCTTACCTTCCTCTCTCCTCCTCTAGCCTCCAATATCCTTTTAGTTTCCCTTTCCAGGAAGGATAAAAGGTCTAAAGGGTAGGATAAAAAAGGAAGAGCTGACAATAAATAGGCCTGAGCGAGGATAATGGGAAGTAGCTAGAACACGTTTTTGTATGTTCTATTTTTTCTTTAAATTTTTTTTACCTTTTGAAACATTTTTATTTAAAAAATTTTTTTTTCTTATTTTATAAGCCAACATCAGAGCTACAGTAGCTAAAACCCTTGATCCTCTCCGGCACCATCTCTTCTAACTACCTCTGCTCTGCTTTAGCAAGTTCTTCCACCCACCACCCCCACCTCACTTCTGAGTTTCAGTTCCATGTCTTCTCCAGTTGCTTTAAGTATAAGGATTGTTAAGAATTTGGATTCTTCTGTATAATAAAGCGAAAGTGAAATATGATATGTGTCCCTCAACTGCTTTCTGCTGCCTCTGGTGAAGCCATGGAAGTGGCCAGAGGTATTTGAGAGAGGAGTGACCAGTGGCAAGGCTCTTCCTTTACCTGTCTTCTGAGCTCTGGAGCAACTAGTGCCCTAGGTGCTCCTTGGCACAGCTAAGCAGGCTCAGGGTTGAAGTTTGGAGGTATCAGAATCCATTCCACTCACCCATATCAAAGTGCCTTTTTTGTGGTTGGCACCGGATTAGACATAGAATAATCTAAAGAAAGTAGTGAACAGGTTGGGCCTTCAATATTCAGACCCTAAACACCTTCTCAGACCCAACCCTAATGCTGAGGTTTCCTGATAATGTGAACCCCAAAGTTCCTCTTCATGAGTGCACGCTGTCACACATTCTGCCTTGGGAATCCCCCCAACCTTGCTTCAGAGTGTGAATATGCCCTCAAGACAACAAGTGGCCCCTTCTCAAGGGAGGGAAGGAGATTGAGTTCAACAAAACTTGCAATCATGGGGACAAGGTGCTAGTCCCAGAACGGCATTAGGGCTTTACCGATCTAATGCCTGACTCCCTTCTGAGTGGAAAACTGGTGCCTTCATGAGTACCTGCCCTCCACTCTTGAAACAAGATGATTTCGGCTGGGTGTGGTGGATCACACCTGTGATCCCAGTGCTTTGGGAGGCCGAGGCAGGTGGATCACAAGGTCAGGAGTTCAAGACCAGCCTGACTAACATGGTAAAACTCTGCCTCTACTAAAAATACAAAAAAATTAGCTGGGCATTGTGGCATGTGCCTGTAGTCCCAGCTGCTCAGGAGGCTGAGGCAGGAGAATCGCTTGAACCTGGGAGGCAGAGGTTGCGGTGAGCTAAGACGGCACCACTGCACTCCAGCCTGGGCAATAGAGTGAAACTCCATCTCAAAAAAAAGAAAAGAAAAGAGAATATTTCAAACCTCAAACCCTCTATCTTTCTGGTTCAACTACAGGAAAGACCATTTCCTCAGCTGATCTTCTTAGACTGGACTAAGAGACAGAAACCCAGGAGTTAACTCAAGTAAGTACGTGTTTCTTGAGAGGATCCACGTGAAGAAATAAAGGAGGCAGAATCTCAGCAAATAAATCCAAGGCCAGAAAGAGCAGTAGGACTGGGCCTTGTGGTACCTGAAACTAGAGGGCCACTCTGGGTTCACTCTGTGATTATTCTCTGTGGTGCCCACAATTAGCCAGTTCAGCTGCTTTCTGGAGGCCTGTTTTATATCTGTCTGCTTCTCAACCATGATCAGCTGCTGTCAACCCACCCCTTTTGTTTAAAAAGCTTTTCATAAATTTAATTTTTGAATAATACATTCACATGGTTCAAATAACATGTTCTTAACAGTTTCCCTCCCATCTCCATCCCTATTTGCTTATTTCCCAAGGCTCCTTGGTTACCACTGTTATTAGTTTCTTATATAGCCTTCCAGAGTTTTGAAAATGTATATACTAGCAAGATGCATATATATGCTTATTTTTCCTGTTTACCAAAGTAGCACACCACAGTCCTGCTTCTGCTTCTTTAACTTGCTAATATAGCTCAAAGACATTTCTTCATCAGGAAAGAAAGCATTCCAATGTTTTTGAAGCAGGTTATAGCCCATTATGTAGATGTACCATGATTTCATCTTATCACTCCCCTTCTGAGAGACATTTGGGTTGCTTACTCTTTTGCACTTATAAGCAATACTGTAACGAGTAACCTTGCATGAATGTCATTTAGCACCTCTGTAAGAAAGTATATCTGTAAGATAAATTCCCAGAAGTGGAATTGCTGCGTCAAAAGAATAATTTTTGAGAGGATACATGTGAAGCAATAAGGGAGACAGAATAATTCTTTTGACCCAGCAATGGGGTAAAGAAAAGGTATGATTATTTATTGCACAAATGAATTGTTTCCTTTGACTCACAGCCTGTGTTTATTGGCAGCTTCTGCTTATGTGCTCCTCACTATGATTCCTGTCCTTCCTCAAGGTCTCTGGATGCATCCTTTCAGCTTTCAATTCCTGGGCTAATTTCCTTGTCATTTTCCTTTTTAAATTTCCCAGAATAATATCCTGAAAAATTGAGAGAGAATCAAACGAGTAATATCCTGAAAGACTGAGCGAATGGAACTAGCCAAACTTCCTTTTCTACAAAAGGCCAAATCATAGGTTAATGGCCAACAAGTGGGTTGATCTCTCTTAGGCCAGGAACCTGTCCCGGTTTGCTAAATTGTAGTGTGTGAATGGGTACATTTGTGTGGGGTCATATTGGACAAAATACAACTGCTCAGGACTTCTCTTGGGAAGGGCTGTGGGCAGGGCTACTCTCTCAGAATGGACAGCAGGCACAGCAGGAAAGTTCCAAGTAAGCAGGGATCATGCTGGTCTCATTCACTGTTGTAACCTCAGTCCTTTTCATGAGGTCTAGCACAAGAAAGGTACTCAATTAATTTGTCGAAAAAGAGTATTAAGAAATTAATAGGCTAGGCATGGTGGCTGACAACCGTAATACCAGCACTTTGGAAGGCCAAGGTGGGCAGATCGCTTGAGCTTGGAAATTCAAGACCAGCCTGGGCAACATGGCGAAACCCCATCTCTAAAAAAATACAAAAATTAGCTGGGCATGGTGGTGTGCACCTGTAGTCTCAGCTACTTGAAAGGCTGAAGTGGGAGGCCTGGGAGGTTGCAGTAAGCCAAGATCATGCCACTGCACTCCAGCCTGGGGAAAAGCAAGACCCTGTCTCAAAGAAAAAAAAAAGAAAGAAATTAATATATCCATGTACATCCATAAAGATTCTGTTTTCCTACCTCATGTTCTTACTCATAAGTGGGTGTTGAACAATGAAAACACATGGACACAGGGAAGGGAACATCACATACCAGGCCCTGTTGAGGGGTGGGGGGCTAGGGGAGGTATAGCAGGGTATGGGGGGATAGGGGAGGGATAGCAGGGGGTGAGGGTATAGGGGAGGGATAGCATTAGGAGAAATACCTAATGTAGATGACGGAGTGATGGATGCAGCAAACCACCATGGCATGTGCACACCCATGTAACAAACCTCCATGCTCTGCAAATATATACCAGAACTTAAAGTATAATAATAATTCGAAAAAAAAAAAAAAAGATTCTGTTTTCCAACCTAAAGGGGCCATCCGACCAGGAGATGTAAATAACCCAGAATGGCCAGATAGTTATATGGTGAGATTCGAAGGCTACCAAGTTCCCCGACCCTCTCCTTTATAACAGCTTCTTCCCTGGCTACCCCAGAGGCTGAAATTCCATTGTCATAGTTACTTATTCCTTCAGGTTAGGAATATAGCCCTTTGCCCAGGGCATCTGTTCCTTTAGAAGAAAGGAAATGGCCACTTCCTTTCTTCTGGTAACATCAATTTGACCTTCCTTCAGGCGACTACCTTCACTGCTCTCTACTGCACACCTTTCAGGTGGGGTTGACCCTAGGCCAGATTCCAGAGGTGGGAATATAACCCAGATCCTATCAGCTTATTCTAATCCCTGGCCCCAGCGATTGGTTCAAGGATGGGTTTACATCTCAAATCCTTCTAATGAGATCCAACTTGAGAACTTTGCTGGAGCCGATGGGAAAGAAGTACTCTTTCACTGGAGTGCTGGACTGGTAGGAAGAAAGCTGCTGGCATCTGTCTTGCCACTTGGAGAGAAATGAATCCTGATGGCATTATTTGAGCATCGGTACTTAGCCATTCCTGAAAGCACATTTGGATTTAGGTTGTAGACCAATACTTTTTGTTTGCTCAAGTAAGATCGTTAGATTTCTGTCACCTGCATGGAAGAGAAGCCAGATAGGTTTCTCCCTCTCTGCATCACTTTCTATCTATGGCCGAGGAGGAAACCCATTGACCTATTTTCAACTGTTTGTGTGGAAGAGGGTAGTTATTGAATGAATTTTTTTTTAAAAAAATATAAGTGTCTCACTTTGTCACCCAGGCTGGAGTGCAGTGGTACAATCATGGCTCCCTGCAGCCTTGACCTCCTGGCCTCAAGTGATCTTCCCACCTCAGCCTCCTGAGTAGCTGGGACCACAGGCATGCACCACCACACCCTGAGAGTTTTTTTAATTTTTAG